TGACGAATAAAGTGGGTGTTAGTCGGGGGGGGGGGGGGGGGGGGAGGCACCGGGGACAGCGACAACGCCTCGGCCGTCTTGATTCGCGCGCGTCTCTATGCCTCCAAGAGCTCCAAGACATCCTTCGATGGTGTTTCAATGCTGACAGCCTTATCTCGAAGCTGCCGCTGCCATGCAGAGGTCATGATGGCTTTGAAATCTTTGCCTGTATTGTCGGCAGGTCTATATCGAATGAGTCTAGCCCATTGACGGGCTTCGGGAGGATGTGCCATCCATCCTTCCCTTCGATCTGGGCTGCGAGTATATATACTCCAAACCACAGCTTCTTTTCAGTCTTGAAGGGTCCAAAGTAAGTAGCTTCGAACTTCTGGCGTTGTTCATTGGTCATCAGAACATTTTCGCCTTGATTCAAGTCTTCGGCGAGGGGAGTCAATCTATCTCGACGCAGCTTTTGAGCATAGATCCCTCGCTCAATCAGTCTTCGATGCCATATACGAGTTTAAATGGAGACAGTCCGGTTTCATTGTGCGCCCTCACTCGACAGGCGAATAGGGCTGCGGGCAAATGCAAAGCCCACCCAGCAATCGGTCGTTTCATCAATTTCTTGGCCAGAATGTTCCCAAGCATGCCATTCAGCCTTTCGACCTTCCTATTGGTTTGTGGATGGTGTCGAAGAGAAAGTCTGCTTGTGTCTTTGAGGTCGCATCTTTGGTCGCATTCGCAAGTGGCCATCCTGTAGCCCAGTCGATAGTCGTCAGGATCCACTCGAAACCGTCTGGGGTACGCGGCAGTGGTCCGACGAAGTCATTCCGAAATGGGGCTGCGATATAGGGGATAAACTTGCGGTCGACCTTTCGATACGAGTGGTCTTCGACGGCGGCGAGGTTTTCGATGCCAATGCCTTTGAGATCTTATCTTTGCTGACTCGAAGGGGGCTTTTCAGGAGCTTAAAGGTGTGCCAACAGGGCAGCTTCCCAATTGTACCCTTCGTCGAGACGGTTTTCATTTCCGTGGAGCAATTCGTGGGCATTGAGGCCTACTATGGTCCTCTTCAGTTGGTGTCCAAGCTTTCGTAACGGTTCCGTTACCCCTGAAGTCTGGCCTTCTCGAAATGGCATCGGGGACCACAGCCTCGGTCGGAACCCGTTCGATATTTGATGTCTAGCGAGTATTCGCTAAACTCGTCGAGATAGTGTACGAGGCGTTTCGACGGTGAACGGGTTGTATTCATGTATTTAAGGCTTTCGTGATCAGCCACGAAGGTGGTTTGATGACCACTCTGGATGGAAGCGGACCAGGTTCGAAGGGCATGCTTAATTGCTAACAACTCCTTTCCTTGAACAGGGTAGTTCAGCTCTGCGCTACGCAGTTTGCGGCCGTCGAAGGCTATTAGATGCCATTTGCCATCTAGTCCAAGCTGTAGAAGCACGGCTCCCAAGGCCAAGGAATTGTCGGACATCGTGTACGGTCCGTGGTTGCGGCCATTCGGTTATCACTTGCACCTTTGCGGGCACAGGCTCCGCCACCGACCATGTGTCCACAGAATTCTAATTCCCGGGCGCCAATTATGCATTTCGAAGGTTTTGCGTATAGTCCATTTTCTTCGAGGCACCGCAGGACGTGTCGAAGGTGCTTTTGATGCTCTTTCTTGGACGCAGAGAACACGACAGTGTCATCGAGGTACACGACCACGAAGCCTTTGTATACCAATTCTCGCAAGGCGTCGTTCATGATTCTCTTAAATGTCGAAGGAGCATTAGTCAACCCGAAGGCCAGGGCTCGAGGACGGTCGAATGAGGCCTTTCTGTAGCAGTTCACGGATTTGCTTGTCTTGCTCGTCTCGATGGATCTTCGACAGGGCGTAGTAAGGAATATTCGTGGGTTGCCTCGACCTCGCGAGGCTTGGTTGGCTCAAGTGCCTCTGAGAGGGTTGGCAAATGCCATTTCAACATCTCCGTCTGAGTCTCGAACGGCGGGCTACGAAGTTGGCGTTCGGGTGGTTTTGATTCGGTCGAGGCCATCTCTTGCAGAGCAGAAGGGGTGGCCTTAACCCATCGATGGGAGTTCCTGGAATCCCGTCGGCCTCGATCCTGATCCAGCTGCCTTTCGATCTGGCATGCATATTCCACGTACGGCCTGTACGTCAACGGGACGAGTTACGAATGAAGGCGATCCCATCGTGTATTTCGCGCTTCAAGCCTCTTCGACACCTTTTGAACATTTCTCTGCCTGTCGGTCGTGGGTCTAGGTACAGTCGGTGCGGCGTCCAAAGCCCACCAGCTCGCCGCGTCATCCTCGAGGTACGAGATGGCGAGGGCGACCTTCTCGGCGCCCGAAAGTGGTCGATGTTGTAAGAGCTCCTTTGGACGGAGCCATTATTTCATGCAAATGATCCAGACCTGCGCGGCGTCTCCCTTGGGCTGGCCTTTGTACTTTGGGGGATCTTTGAAGCCTTGAATTGGGATGTATACCACGTTCGATGGGGGATTGACTGAAGGGCTGATTGGATGTTGCTGAGGCTGTTGTTTGCCTCGGAGAGGGCTTCGAGCCTTGGCGGATTACGGCTGTTAGAGCTCGACATGCATTCCCGACATGAGTCGACAGGCTTCGAGATGGATGCAAATCAAGAGGTGTGGGGTGTGAGTGGTGCAATGGTGCAAGCACGTATATATTCGGTGTAAAGGAGGACAAGGGCGTTCGGTTTGGGAGTTGACCCATGGTTCTCGGAGAAGGACAGCGTCTCTGCAGAGGAAGAAGAGGTCTTCGTCGAGGAAGCGGTGGTGTCGAAGGGACTTGATCGTCCTTCGCACTGGATGTATAAGTTCCAGGGCTCGAGTTCTTTCCAGCTCGGCCGAAGACTAGCGTGACAGTCATTACATCGCCGTGGCTGCCCTGTCAGTCACAATCTCTTGGCACTTTGATCACGCGCCATTTGAGATATTGTTCATACAAACAGAACCTCGACCTTGCACGACTCCATTCAGGACGCTCTCGACAACGATGCAAATGTCTGCGACGTAACGTTGGAATTCTGGCACCGAAATGGCCAGGCTTTGCCCCGCTATCTCAGGAAGCACGGTGTGACACCGGAGGAACAGTTTCTGAAGCGTGGGATCAAGGACATCTACCAGATAAAAGGCTTGACTGAAGAACAGCGCAACAAACGCTGGCTGTTTACCTGCGTGGCTGTCGTAACAGCTGACCTTGCGCTTGCGGAGGACGACCTGTAACAGTCAAAGGCGATGGATAGTCAGGAGCTTCATGTTCGTCAGAATGCCAGCAGACGGTCTCATAGTAGTAATATCATCAGCACTGATGATGGATGATCCTTTGACATTTATACATTTCTTCAGTACAACTTGACGAATTTCATGCTTGCAAGAGATTCCTCTTCCACGATCGGCTTGACCTCCTTCAGCCATCCAAAGCGGTCAGGCCTTGTCCCATTCTAGATACCCAGCAATTCCGCCCTCAGCCTCTGCGTCACAGGGCCCATCGTACCATCACCCACAATGAATTCGCCAACATCGGGATGATAGAACGAACCGACGACGACAAGACGCCAGCCGTGCCTGTTGAAAAAGACCTCGACGACTCTCTTCTTTCTCACATCCGCAAGAAGCTCCTTGACGAAATAATGCCGCTCCTTCACTTGGATCCCGTCTGCCTCACCCAGGTCGCAGACCGATCCTTGCGTGATGCCATCCAGGATGGTATGGTTGTCCAGGGATGGGATCCAAATCACTTCGTCCAACCCCACAAAGAAGATGTTCGCGACCTCGCTTTGCTGGATTTCTTTCGCGCTCTCCATTGGAAAACAGTGTCTGATGACTGCCATGACATCTTGCCGTACTGGACGATGAAAGAGCAGCGGTATAATTACTGCCGCATTTTGAGCTGCCGGCACCACCGAGAGATGCTCTCCTTCGTTTGGGCTCGATATGAACCTTGAGTACCGAACTGCTAAAAAAAGTCTTTTGCCGGTGAGATCAGGACGAGGAAGGTGTATTCGCCCGACACTGCGAACCTTACAGACCGTTCTGTGGCGAACATGAAAGGCCGAACGTAAAGCCTGCCCTCCGTCACCAGACATCAAAAAGCCCCGACAAATTCTGTCGGGGAAGGAATGGACGGGAGGTTCACTGAAGATTGAGGTCTGGGATATGGAATTAGACAACAGGGGTAGGGTGTTCGGCCCAGACCAGCATCTCCAGCATTTCCAGAAACAGGGATTCCGGCCGCTCAGGCATCTCAACTCTCTCCCCAGACTTGTTGGAACGCTGTGCGTCCTTTTCAGGCCGAAAGACGACGAGTTTTCCTTCTGGGGTCTTGTGCGCCTGCATACCCTCAAACCTCGTCTGCCCGTATTGGAAGCACTTTGATGTAGGATGCATGCTCGGGTTAGCAAATGACACTACAGCTGCGGTCTGCCATGTATCATCCGCGTATTTGGCGATTGCCATGTGATCCGTGTCGGTGGCTCCTAATTCGAGTTCTCCAGACGCTGCCGTCCGCATCTTCGCCCCCATACTGTATACGTGTTTCGAGCTTTCGATATCGGACGCGTAGAGCCTGTGTTAAAATTCGCTCGAAGCTCAGTGTCGTTCCCTTTAAAAGTGAAGATCATCTGATCACGCGTAGCTATTGTGTCTCTTGTCTTTACTCTCCCTCTTTCCTTATTGCCTTCCTTCATCATGACTCCTTTTGTACTTGGAGAACCGACCTCCCTATTACTAAGTGTCGGCACCTGGCTCATGACCGCTGCTCCTTCTCTTGTTCTTTTGGCGTCTACAGCGTTCGGCTGGCTCCATCGTAGGCCTACATCAGAGTGCCAAATGGCATCAACACAGTGGTCATCGTTAGCCAATCAAAAGCCCCGACAAAATATGTCGGGAACCGTTGATTGGTTGGTTTATTCCCGGTGGTGGTAGCCATATTGAGAAGGTTAGCCGAATAATTTCCACCGCAGCTCATAACAAATCCGCAGGTACGCGAGACAGACAAATGCAAAATCGGGTCTTCTGAATGACTAAGCAGCGGTGACTAAGCCTCCAGCCATTTGGTTTCTCCGCCTCCGTGATTCTCATCGTTGTTGCTTTAGCGATTCGCGTTTCTAAGCGAACTGCAAGTTATTCCACTTACATGTAGCGCCGCTGGAACCGCTAAACTAATGAATAACCTTCACCTGAAACCAATTGTGTCATCTTTGTCCATTTCTGAACGCCTCCATGGAAGGTCAACTGAATGTTCAGTCGAGGTTGCCGCTTGGAGGCCCTGGATTTAATTTCCACTGTGCTCAGCGGAGGCCTTTGGACACACACAGAGCTGAAAATCCTGACAGGGAAAGCCAAGCTGTCGACCTGCAGGCATCAGACCTGCATCTTTCCCAGTTCTTTCGCTTCAACTGCAAGCCTTGACTGATTATCGCCCACCATTGTGAAGTGGGACAATATTTCCCGATATGGTGGTCGGAATTGAGGATCAGGACAACATCAGGCCTGCCTTTATTGTGTCAATGGTTCGAACATGTCAACTCGTTTCATCTGCAATCCTTCATCGACATCGAGTGTTCTCAGCCAGCCACCTTCCAGCCTTTGATGGATTTTCGATAACGGAATGAGATTGGAGGCCGCAGATCACCGCTGGATCCACCCAGTCGTAGTCTCGCTAAATGCCATGGACTTTCCCAGGCAACGATCTGCCTCCCCACACGGTCCTGCAATACGAGACTCGCAAGGCGTATTCATTCGACACGCAAAAGAGCGGTGAAGTTCTTGGCCCTTTTATTGACAGGCAATCTTTGCAAAACAGCAATGAAGTTCTAGGCCCTTTCATTGACAGGTGATCTTTTGCAAAAGAGCGGTGAAGTTCTATGCCTTTTCATTAGATGGCGATGTTTTGCGTTGCTCAATTGTGCAACCACTAAAAAGGTGCGATGCGATTTTATTAGCTGATGGTGGGCGCCTCATGGAGGGACCTTTTGCTCCATGCCTCCTGCGGGCGTCGCTGAATGAGGCAACTATTGTCCTTGGGGTGGAAAAAGATGAAAACGTAAAAACATCATCATTGGTTCACATTGTTGGCCTCAAAGACCGGCGTAGTAGTGGGTCGGGCCAACGACTTTGGTTTGATGAGAACGCGCCGCCGTCCACCAATGGTTTCACGTATAGTCGTATGGTCCCCAGCTGCCTTTTAAATAGTGGGAACTGATGGGTCTTCAGCCAAGTTCTGCAAATGAGGACGGCTCGGTGTTGAGGCCAAAGGTCGAAAGGTGGAGCCTCCGCCTCTGCAGATCTCTCACAATCACCCGTTTTAGGTTGGCGCTCTGGCTGCACAGTCGTGCATGGTGGAAAGGTGTCCATACCGTGTAACCCAGTAGATCCCTCAAAGCGTCTAGATTTAGGTCCTCGGAGGGGCGTGGCGCGTACGTGCATCGTTCCGATGGTATTCTATTGGAGATGTTGGCTGTCGCTGGCATCAGAACGTGTCATACTCGACGCTTCCCCCCTTGCCGTCGGCGTTGGGCGTCGATAGTGTGTCCATACCGTGAGCCTTGATAACTACTATAAGGCGTCGAGGCTTCGCTCCTCGGGTGGGGCGTGGCGCTCTGTTTCCATCTTCCCGCAAGTCTCTTGTTCGTGGGTGGGGCATGGCGTTCTTGTTGCATCTTTCCGCAGGCGTTCGTTGGTGGGCGGAGAGGGGAGGGGGGAGGGCGAGGGGGCGTTGGCCGTTGCCGTGTCTCTAAG